GAGAACGCTCACGAAGCGCCGAGTTTGAACGGAACCTACAGTATTTTCATTTTTGCGCTAGCTGCCTCATCCTTGACACACACAAAGAAGAATGTAAGCATCACGCAAGCATCAGTAAACACATTAAAATTGTTTCCCCCCCCCTTGAACCTCCGCAAAGACAGCTGGTCTTTATCCAAGATTCAAACAAACATTCAGACCTCATAAACAAAATGTTTGGGCCGCTTAAGCCAGAAAGCGCCGCGTTGGAGCAACACGTGTCCGTCTGCGAGGATGCGTTCGCCGGCTGAAACGAGATGATTGATGATGTGATGTCAGGAGAGAAAAAAAAAAAAGGGAGGATTTGAGGGCTTGGATAGCAACAGTTTAATTTAATGGTTCTGACTGGAAAGAACATACAGTGGTTTGGTCTTATATGGGCCATTTATAGTGTGTCTCTTGTCACCTTGTGATGGAAATGAGCATTTTTCATTCTCTAAGTTCCAATGCGGCTACAAACTGTAAAACACATCAGTGAGATATTTTTTATTATATAGCCTCTTATGGCTTTAATTTCAATTGTTTAACTAGCTGAATGCCTGGCGCTCTTTGGCACCGGTGGAAACAAATATTCTATTCCTCATAATCAAGTTCTATCTTTGGTAGTTTATTAATTCTTTAAACCATATTTAACTACGCGGTTATTTGGAAAGCGGTTTTTACATAAGCAGCAGATATAAAACTGTCCTCGACATGGTGGCAAATGATATCCTGCCTTGTAAAATTTTACACTCAGGAGTTCCTTAAGCAAACAGATGCCTTTGCCTGTTTCATAAGGCTTGATATTCATGTGGTGTGCCACAAGGATCAAATTCTTGGACTAAGTCAGCAGTGCATTATGATCTTCCTCTTTTTTTCCTCCTGCTAAACCCGAAAATATATGTGTTAGTAGCTCAACCTGTATGTCATATATCACTTGAGGACAAAATGAGAAGCTTTTGGTAGAAAATCTAAACACAGACATATATTCTTTTTCATATATTCTTCACAAACATGTGGTTGTCGAATAATTCTCACTTTATTTTGACATATAAAGATCGGATTCAGACGGGGTTTCTCAGAGGCAGCAGAGGACAGTTTCTTTTCACCGGTAGGCAGGAAAAATGTCTTAGTCAAACAAAGCTGACGTTATTTTTCTTGACCTGCTCTCTGTCTGTCTCTGGCTCTCCTTGCATCGATGATAGGCCACTAAAAACATCAAGCGAGAGGAAAAGGTGCAGAGCGGAAAGAAAAGACGGGGCTAAAGTTGGTGCTCGTCGAAGGCCAAGTAAACACTGTCTGGCGGGAGAAAGGAGAGGTGACAGACAGAGCGGGGATAAAGAAGTGGGGCACGAGCTTCACATGGTGAGAAAACGGCGAGAAACACGTCTGTCACACTCTAACCCATATATGACACGGGCTGTGTGGAACAGAAGCCAGGCGTTTTGTTACTAAGATGTTTAACTGGTGATAATAAAAGAACTAATTGACTAAATTGAAAATCAGCTTCCCTGGGAGTTTTCTTCAACCCAAAAGAATTCAAAAGAACTGTTTAAATAACAAAAATACGACCTTTTAATGCTTCAAATGGTGGTTTAAAATGTGTTGCTTGTGCACATTTGAATATAACAGGAATACACGATGGAGTTAAGCCTTATGTTGTGTTAAAAATTACATTTAAAAAAATATATAAATAGACAAAATGTTCCTCAAAGTGCAATACATAGAAAACAACCCTTTAAGAATATTAAGAATATACATGAATGAGTTTATAACAGCTCGTCATGTAGTCCTTGCCCTCTGGATTTTTAAGAAAACTCTTTTAAAATGTCCTTTTATTATCACACAACTGATACGTAACAAGTGATTAGAGCCAGATTTCACCCTTCTGGAACAGCGTGACATTAAAAAAAAGGGGGGGACTTATGAAATAAATTCTGTTTGTTCATCCAGGCTCATGAATTCAAGCCACCAGTTGTAAACGATTCAATAAAAAAGTTCTCTTGTTCAGAGGTCACATCCCCACACACACACACATCCTGCACCTAAAGATGTCACAGGATTTATGAAAAAGGAGCTTTGACAGATCATTTTAAATAATGGAAACACAAGCCCCTAAGGAAATGTGTCCATGACGCCAATAGGTAGTAAAATTACCCTCAAATCTGCCAAGACCAATAGGCTCCAGCGCTGTCTGCTGCATTCCTCCCCCTGCACGGAGCACACAAACTGCCATTTAAGGCTGCCGAGCGTGCTGACAGACCGGTGGAAGGGGAGGCAGATAAAGAGGAGCAGCACTTCTGATATTCTGCGATGATAAAGCGAGCACTTGAACGCCTCTGTCGCTACTCTGTCATTAAGTCAGCCTTCAGAGCTCCGATATCTCCGGCTTGTTCTTTTTTTTCTTCCACTTTCTTTCCATTTATCTGGACTTTTTTTTTTTGGTAAGATCACACTTGATGAAGTTGTGCAGGTGTGCAGTTCAGCTCTATAAATAGAGCGATGACGGCAGACACTGATGATCTATCTGCTTTCCAGTTAAAAGTCAAATAATTTTGGGGGGGAAATTGTGCAAAGTATTACTTCATTGTTCACCAGAAAATGAAACACGGTGAGATTTCTCCACTGTTGTTCATCACTTCATGTTGGCCAAACAAGAAAAAGACAGACATGTGAGACTGCATGCTTCCCTCTGCTGGACAAATGGAACAACTGCACAAAAAAACCTTCTCTAAAAAGAATCAAAAATTAATTATCTCTTTATTACTTTATTCTCTACACTTGTGACTTCTAATGGACAGTTTCTAACAACTACGGACACACATGGATGCTGATGTTATATATAAATATATCAGAAACACAGCTAAAAAGGAAAAAATACCCTCAAATCAGTCATAATATCACAATAATTTTCACTTA